CTAACAATAATATATTTTTTAATTAGACAAATCCATCATCAAAAATTAAATCATCAATTCTTCTGACGACGAAGATTATTTTTTTAGTTAATCTGTGGTGAGAAATAAACTGTCTCATAAAGTAAGTGTCGTGTAATACTGATACTGTTTTTCTTTTGAACATAAAAATTTTCAAGATTGAATTTTGTCTTCAGGCACTGCACAAGGAAATGGATCATGATAACATTGAATTCAAAGAAAATTACCGATCTTTGAAAAAAAGTGAAGGTACCCGCAATGTTGGAAATAGTATTAGCCTGCCGTCAACATCAGGAACGCAAAAAAAGAAGACAGTGATGAGGAAAATAAATGGACGTTAAGACGACATAAAATTGAAAAAAATGTCAATTTTTACATTATTTTTAAAATTCTTTGAACTTGGAATGCAAGGCTGTAAAAAGATATATAACGTGTCGTCCTTGTTAATATAACGTGCTTGTTTTAAATTAAGTAACATAATGTCAAATTTGATATATGTTTATTTTGTTAACAGGTTTCAGAACTTACCAAAGGATCAAACATTTACGTTAACACTTTTGAAATGAGAACCGCTCTACAGAAATCTACTAATCAGATTGATTTGGCAAGAGCTTTGCTATAGGTTGTCTTTACAGAGCATGCATTAAGAAGCTGTTCCCTGACAGGACAGAAAGCTAAAGGACAAGAAAAATCTGGAACTACTTGATCTGGGCTGTATTTAAAAGGAGTTGATGCAATATATCGTCAATATTTTCTTAAAATAGAAAACTAATCAATAGTTTAAAAAAACCATTTGTTAATCGTGGTGAGTCTTCAGGAAAAAGGAGATATAGAATAATCATTAAAAGAAAGCCATTATTTATATCGTTATCATAATTATAAGATTGTACAGTATTTACCAGATTTATTCGCTAATCAAAGTATCTCATTTTTGTTTACATTTGAAAAGTTTTTTATCAAACTATTTTAAGTGAAATGAGCATTTTTCTGTATCTTCCATAAAAAATTATAGTAGTAATGTAGCTAAGTATTTATATAAAAATTCTTTTACTACAGTTTATGTTCAAGCTTATGGCGAAAAACATGGCTGGATTCCCAAAGATCGACAAACAATTTGGAGAAGTATGAGTTTGAAATTAAATGAATTGAGAGGAACAGCGCATCTGAATTAAATGAATTCGTATTTTTACGGTTAACTTTTTTTTGTTTTAATTGTTTTGGAGAAAAAAAGAAATCTTTCTCTCTATTTTTTCATTCAAAACCGCGCAAAAATACGCTTCTACGTGTACGAGAGTTTTTTATGATTTTCATTATTTTAATTTTGTATTCAAATATATTAAGTTATATATTAATGAATAAATATATTAAATTTGAAGGTTATTTTCCAAACTGTTTTTATTGTATATTATATGTAGCAGAAAATATTGCTTGTAAAAAGAGGCAGAAATACTGATGAAATTTTGTAAAATTTTGTATATAATTGGATAAAATTTATACATGGATCATGCATGTCCATTCCTATATATAGTCAATACATGGATTGTACACAGAAGACTATATACAATTTATGTGGAAACTGCATATTATATTTCCACATGGGCTATAGACAGTATTTTTACATGTTTTGTAACTTATGTGCCTCTTATGTTTCCAGTGTTTTAATTATCAAACAACGCCAATGGTGACATATGTGGATAGTACAATAATCTACAGAAATCTTATTTCCACAACTACAGTAACAGAATCATTAACGTGAGCAGATTCGTTAGTATTTACTTCTTAAATTAGTATGTGTGAGCATACGTAAAAGCAGACAGTTTTCTTTAAATACATTTTATTGCATTATTCTTCTTGATACTCACTCCGTGCAGCACTTCAAAAGAACGCCACCTATAGGAGAGTTGCGATCATACTAACTTATATATCCACATTAAATATACATGAGCGTTGTGAATAAACATTGACAAAAAAAGTTTTATTTTATTGAAATAAATACTGGCAAGTACTGAAATATCAATGAAAACATTAATTCTTATTTCCTACAGAATATTACACTTTTAATTAATTACAAGTCCTTAAATTATAGATAAAAATACTAACAAATAATGTGCAAACTGATGAAAACAGATACAACTTTTAAACGAAAAAAATTCGATTTCTAAATCTTAAAACTTGGAAGTGTTCGAACTGAGAAGAGAATCTCCTCAAACATAATACAATAATGATGCTGAATTATAGAATAAGAGTCTGTCAACACTAAGAGCCGAAACAAAAAATGAAGATTAATATATTTAAATTGATTTACACAAGTACGATAAATACGAGCAAAATTTATTGGTTTAATGCTTAAAGTAAAAAAGGGTAATGCAGGTTATGTACCGTCACTCGTGGCCGGGGTTCCTAGTCTCGAGATTAACAACTCCATTCTTGAAGTCTGCTATTTAGTAACTGACGTAGCTTAATAGTGGCCGGCTTTATAAGGTCTTTTAGTAGACATATCATTTCTAGAAATGGTAGTAAAAATGTGTTTGTTGGCAAGGTAGTTTAACGTTAGTTGACCCTGAAAAGGACCAATAAGATTAATGTTTAATTAGGGAGCGTAAATACATATAATGGCACTAAAAAGAGCCAGATAATGGAAATTCTCAATGATGGAAAGCTGGCTACGGTTAACTTGACTCTTACACTCAGAGTCTCTAGGTATACGGAGACCGTGCTGGAAGGAGATACACTGCTGGTCAAAGAATATGTTGTCTTTGGGTCACTCCCTGGATATCTAACCGTTCACCGTTGGTCGGAAAAGTGGGCCAGGAGAATATCTCCTCTATGGGTATGCTGTTGGGACGAACTACTAAAGAGGAGGCTGATGAAATTTTCAGCCAATATGGCTGTCCAAACTCCTCAGAGTTTCTTGTCTGGCTTGCTGTTGTAGTAAAATATGCTCTGGTAGCACAAGGTTGGTTGGAAGAACGACCACAAAACCCCAAATTGTTAGAGCAGATTGTGCTCTAGCTAGACGTCTCCTGGTATTTCGCCGGAGATGTTGACGTTTGGAAAGCCTTTTATTCGTGGCACTCGTTAATCGTGTTGGTTTGGGATGGAATTTGACATTAGTCAGTTTTTCATTGGAGAAGAGTATCGTTGGTATCCAGGATACCCAGGTGTGTGATTCTCATTTCTATTCTTGATGTACTGCCAGTGTACGACTATAATATCCAGCAATTCGCTCCGGGACGTTATTACTAGACTCAATTACTTGTATTGCAGGTAGTTTCGATATTGCTTCTACTCTACCTAGCAGATTTTACTGAACTAAAGTGAAAAGCTCGTGTAGTTTTGCCAAATTTTTAGCTTATTTATTGCTATTGTTAGTAATTTTTCAGGAAAAAACTATGCAATAATCGTGTAGGGATTGTCAAGATTTAGTATGCAAAATTTCAGCAAGATCTGTTGAGTAGTTTTCTAGGTCAGTGATTACAATGGTTTGTTCAGCTTTGCTTTGTATGTTAGTAAGACAAGATAAGATAAGAAAGCATTTACTTTTATTTGTATTTTGTAGGATGCTGAGTGAATGAGTTTGTTCTTACGACACTATGATTACTTTCATTACTTATGTTTTTAAAATGACGACCTCAAAATCAATTTAAAAAGTGACAACAGATTATTATTAAGTGACATTTAATCATTCCTTGTTCTTCTATACTGTTATGGGGTGCCATCAATGCAGAGTTACGAGGCAGAAAAGCTCGACCTCGACAGGGCCTGTGTTGTCCGGATTCACGTGACGACACTGTCTGTAATATGTTTGTGTGGGTCTCGTCTGCCGAGAAACCGCAGATGCCAAGTATCATGGCGACCTTGGATGTCGCCACCCCTAGCGACGATCGTGAATACGACAAAAGAGAAAGTGGGACACACTTACGAATAAACACTCGTGAATATAATATTAAAACAAAATATATATTCAAAAAATTGTGTAAAATATAACAATTACTCGCGGGTATATGTGTATGCATGTGTGTGTGTGTGTGTTCGTGTGTGCGCGCGCGTTCGTCGAGCGCGAATACTCGACGACAGTGATGGCACAGAAAATTTCAACATGGCGGAAAAGTGGGCCCCCCACCACTCTCACACCAGAATGAGAGAAGTGGGGGGCCTACTTTTTTCCGAAGCTAACTTCAGAGCCTGTAGTTGCTGCCGACAGTACCGTAGCGTCGTCTGCTACGACAACGGTTCTCAAATTGCGCATTGCATGAGTGACGCCGCGTCTCTCGGGTATAACTCGGCCGTCGACACACGGTGTTTGTATTTTGTCAGCTGATCGTTGCATTAGTGCCCAGTCCTGTCCTGTGCCGGTACTGATAACGAAGAAGTCTGGACCTTTTTTCTACATCGCGATCAAGCTGACAAGTCTGGCCTTTATCACTATGTCAAACGATGAGGTGAGCAAAAATACTGCTGTGAGTGCTAGCAGTTTGAAGCAGATCTGACAAGTAAACTGCATATTTCAGTTATTAGCCCAACAGCGTTTAGTGTATTGCAGTGCTTGTTTTTTTTATTATCTTTTTGTATAGTTTTTTGTCTCTCTTAACTTTGTATATAAATCAAGCAGGACTTTAACGTGGAATTCCTGACAAATGAGTAATTCCCACAAGTTTCCGGTCACAAAGTTGTGATTTACTTTTTCTGCAATCAAATCAACCAAAACAAAAAAAAAACCTGATCAAGAAGCAAGAGGTTACAACTTCAATTATTGGTTCTATCAAGCACAATTTTGGAGGATAATAGCAATTTTCATTGTAACAAAGAAGAAGTTATTTAACTGAAAAGGATACATCTTGAATCAGATACAGTCACTAACTTAAAGAATAAATGTCTGAGTGAAGAACAATTAAGGGCTGATAAAGTTTGACAAAAAAATGTACCTGAATCTCTGAAATCATCGAATGGCTGTGAATCTCCAGTTTCTCCAGAGGCTGTAGTAAAGGGTTTTTTTAATATTTATTCTTCACAATGGAGGGACAGGCAACAGTCACTCAACGCTCTCATGAAAACTTGGTGCAATGTGATGCTGATAGTACAGTTAATAATAAAAATGAAGTTCAAACTTGCTCAAAGTTAACAAGTGCGCAGCTCATCATATTCCAAACATACAATACAAATGTGTTTGATGGTCTACAATTATTCAAATGAAGTGAATTACGAAGGTTAAGGAATTGCATGAAGCTGTAAATGTGACCTGGGTACCTCCAGTCCAGCAGCTCACCAACTTTCCAATTTTGGATTTCAGTTTTAGTACTCTAATGCCAGTTTGTATTTGTATTCTCTCAATCTGGAGCAGCCAGGTTATGATATATAACTAAAGACCAGTGTGCCAAGTGATCAATGGTTTGTATTTTTTTGTTATGTATACCTATAATATTCATGGTCTTGAGAAATTTAACACAATGATTGTAATGAAGGTTAAGGAGTTGCATGAAGCTGTAAATGTGACCTGGTCACCTCTAGTCCAGCAGCTCACCAACTTTCCAATTTTGGATTTCAGTTTTAGTACTCTAATGCCAGTTTGTATTTGTATTCTCTCAATCTGGAGCAGCCAGGTTATGATATATAACTAAAGACCAGTGTGCCAAGTGATCAATGGTTTGTATTTTTTTGTTATGTATACCTATAATATTCATGGTCTTGAGAAATTTAACACAATGATTGTAATGAAGGTTAAGGAGTTGCATGAAGCTGTAAATGTGACCTGGTCACCTCTAGTCCAGCAGCTCACCAACTTTCCAATTTTGGATTTCAGTTTTAGTACTCTAATGCCAGTTTGTATTTGTATTCTCTCAATCTGGAGCAGCCAGGTTATGATATATAACTAAAGACCAGTGTGCCAAGTGATCAATGGTTTGTATTTTTTTGTTATGTATACCTATAATATTCATGGTCTTGAGAAATTTAACACAATGATTGTAATGAAGGTTAAGGAGTTGCATGAAGCTGTAAATGTGACCTGGTCACCTCTAGTCCAGCAGCTCACCAACTTTCCAATTTTGCTTGGATGCAGGAACAGCTGCTCAGCAGTTGGATGTCAGTTTTAGTCCTGTAATGTCAGTTTGGATTTGTATTCTCTCAATCAATACCAGTGTGCCAAGTTATCAAAGGTTTTTCCCTTTTTGTTATTTATATATACTT